TCTACAGTTTGTGCAATGAGCATTTGTTAATAGTGAGGGTAAAATCCACCAACCAGACAAATAGCAAAAATAATACCCTAATCTTTTTGTAACCAACATACAATAAGTTTACGAATTTTTGGAGTATGCTATGATAATACAGCAAACACATTGTGGGGTGATCAAATCAAGGTATCTACTGTTTCTCTTTCCTTAAACATTTACCATTTCTTTGCATTGAGAGCCTCTGGACTCCTTTTTCTAGTTCTTTATACAACATGCAATAAGTTGTTGTAAGCTATAGTCACCCTGCCATGTTGTAGAACATTACAACTTATTCTTCCAGTTAGCCATGTTTTGCTACCCCTTAACAATATCCTAAATCACCCTTTTCCACAGTTCTGAGTAGCACATGTGAAGAATAGGAGCGTTTTCTGCAGTGACGCTGACATACTAAGAGTAATGTGTGTCTTCTGGCTCCTGCTTTGGATTGGAATCCTCACCTGTGTGGACTTGTGCATGGTATTTCACACCCCCCAGCATCAGATTCTCCCCTGGGAAGTGGAGCTCCCTGTCTTTGTTATCCAGTGAGGTGTTACAAAGTGCAATAAAATAGCATATATGAGAGCTGTTCATTGAAAGGAGCGGCCGAGAGCCGCCATAAAATGGCCTTAATAAAACAGTCCTGGGAAATGGGGAGTAAACTAAGTTCACAGAGAAAGCAGATAGCTACTACCCAGAGATAAGGGCTACTACCCAGAGATAAGGGCTACTACCCAGAGATAAGGGCGACAGAACATCCTGGTATGCACCTAAGCCCCCTCCCCTGTGCTTGTTCAAGCTTAACAAAGAAACCGTGAGGCACGTAGGGCACGTAGCCACCCCTTTCTGCTCTTCAAGGACCCCCTCCCCTTGTCCAAGCTTAGACACGTAGGGCACGTAGCCCCCGTTTCTGTTCTCTCCTCCTCCTCGACGACCTCCTCCCCTTGTAGTTACCCAATAAACTTACGCCACCCTATGGTATGTTAATTTTGTGGTTTTGCCCCTTAAAAGCTGTGTGAGATAGCTGCTCGGGGCTCCTCTCACTTGCTTGCTGCTTGCAGCAGTAGGGGGCCCATTTGTACAAATGAAATAAATTACCTCCTGTTCTATTGCATCGTCTGGTCCGGAGTCTGTGTTTCTGGGGTCGTCACAAGAGGACACCGCTTTTGGGGTCCTACACTTCCATTTATGTAGTAGGTTCCCCTTGGGTACTTCCAAACCTGAGCCTTTTAAATAAGATGGAATTTGGCAACGAAGTACTTCTTTAAGATTATATATATTTTAGAAGCAGAGTTAGAGAGAGAGGGAGAGAAAGAGATCTTCCATCCACTGGTTCACTCCCCAAGTGAGAGCTGGGCCGATCAGAAGCCAGGAGCCATCCTATAACTGAAATGCAGGGAGTAGCTGCCTGATGGGGGTGGGTGGGAGGCATGAGCGCCCTGAATGCCTTGCCCTGGGACCCCGGTCCCCACAGCGGAAACCACTGTGCATTCCCAGACCTCAGAGGCTGAAGAGCAGCACCTCACCAGGTGTGTTCTGCAGGCAGACGGCAGCCTCCTCAAGGGCAAGGAGTAGGGGGCATTTGCAGTGCTGCACAGCCTGGCCAGGCAGCCTCACTGAGGGGAGGAGGGCTGAAACCCAAAGGAAGTGAGCGAGCACTACCTACAGAGACCTGAAGCCGAGTGCCTCACATGGAGGGAACCAGCTGTACTACTCGGAGAAAATTCAAGGGGCCTGTGGAGCTGGGTTAGGAACAAGAGGAAGCTGAAAGCTTTGAAGCCAAAGAAGTAACCTGGTCCAGAAAGTAGGACCTTGTAGGCCCCTCAAAGGACTTAGGGTTTTACTTTGGGTGAATGAGAGCCTTAATCTCTCTGACTGGCCCCTTACCGCAATGCATCAGCTGCTGTGTGAAAGAAAGCAGGTGAGGAGGGGGCTGCCCAGCAGCAGTGGGAAAGGAAATGGTTGGATTCCTTGTGTTTTCATACTGCAGCTGCTAAAATATACTGATAGGTAGGTGTAGAGTGTGAAAGGGGGAACCAAAGACAAAAATGACCCCACTAGAACGGGTAGAATTGCCATTCATGAACCTCAAGAAGAGGGCTAATTTGCAGAGGTGGTGGCAGAAATCCTGTTTGAGGCCCAATTAAGCTGGAAGTGAATGTAAATCGCGCTCTCATGTACAGATGTCAGGTAGCAGGGCTTCTGAGTCTGGAGTTCAAGGAAAGCAAGTGGGCTGCTGGTTTATTTTTTTTTTTTTCATCCACATAGCATCACCACAGCTAAAAAAAACCGTCAGTTCGGCAGAATCAGATTTTCTTCCTCAAGGTCCACTTTCTCTAATCAGGAGCAGCTGAACGAAGGGATGGAAAAAGGCAACAGCAGACAGAAGGTTCTTCCGCTGAGCTCCACAACAGTTTTCAGGGGGCCTGAGAACTTCCTGGAACTGCAGGAAAAGTGTGTGGAGAAAGTGAGTGCATTTTGGAAAGAAAGGGTATGTGTATCTACTACTGGGTCACCAAAGTGATCTCCCCAGGGCTCTGTCTTCACTAAATTATCTGAGTAAGAACTCCAGTTAAGACTCACTCATTACTAAGGGCATTTTGCACCATCTCTAAAAAAGGGGGAATATTTGTTGCTTTTTCTGAGAATTACAGGAGAAAAGAACAGCCAGAAAGTTAACCCATGTCGTGAATACTCAACACCACTCCTTATTTCTCTGACCTGGGGTTTGTCTGTGAACTGCTTCTTATTATCAGCCTTCCTTCCTAAGATACTTCACCTGTGGCTTTTTCAGTCTCCTGGCAGTTTTACTCTAATTCTCAATTTTGTTCCCATCCTGGACCTGTTCCCTAGACCCCTGACTCATACATCTAATTTCCTATTCATACCTTCCTCTTAGACATGTTACAGGCATCTCAGATTCTCCCTGGATATCCAAAACTAAGCCTATAATTCTCTCCAAACCTCATTCCTTCTACTTTGTTTCTTATTTTACCAATTGGGATCTATGTAGTTGCTGTGACTAATGTCATCGAAATCATCCATGAATTTTCTCATCCCCTACATTTACTAGCTAAGAACTCTTTTTTCAAAATATATACAAAATCCTCTGCCTTTAACACACTGATCAAGTCAGTCTTCTCTCAACTGGATTATTGTACTAGCCTCCTAACTGGTGTCCCAGCTCCTACTGTAGTCCCATCAGTCTGTTCTCGATCAAGCATCCAAATAGATCTTTTAAAAACATAAACTACATCTTGTCACCCTTTTGCTCAGAATCCTACAAGGACTCACACCCAGTGTTAACATCCGCTTCAATGCCACAGAACAGCTCCATGTGCCTCAGAACCCTTATCTGCTTTGCCTCCACAACCCAGGCTTTCCTATTGGGCCTTCTATTTGGAATACTTCAAGTTTCCCCATGTTTTTTATCCCCCAACCATCACTTTATCGGTAAAGCTTCCCACGACCCTATCATTTAAAATATCACTGCCTCCCTGCACACTGTCTTTTCCTGCTGTTCACTGATCTTTATAGTGCTCACCACCACCTAACACATATAATTTACTTATTTGATAATTATCTGTACACACCCACACCCAATAAACAGATATAAAAATAGTTAGGTTCGCTGTCATCCAGGGCTATTGTTACCGAAAGCTCAGGTTGTGGTCAACGGTACCGGATGAAAATAACGAGGCCAAGGTTTGAGAATGAGGTTAATCGCTCAGTAGATGAGGTAGCAGCCTAGCGTCAACCACGGTTCTGAAAGAGCGTGGCCCAGGGTTTTCAGAGGCTACAAGGGAAGGGGCTGGCTTCTCGCAAATGCGAAGGGAGCAGCAGTCTCTGGGGGTGGCTGTGATGAGAACCGGGGCCAGACACACGCCGAAACTTGGCAAGGCCTTCACTTCCGCCTTTGTCTCAGCGCGGCTGCCCTCGAAAGAAACCAAAGGCAGGGAGATTAGACTCCGCCTGAACTGATCTCTCTGCTCGGGCTGCCGGCGGCGAACGCACTGTGCGTCCTAGAACATGCTGGAGGGCGAAACCGGCGGTGCAGCCTTGAAACATAACTAGGCGAGCGTTCAGCGAGAACCGCAGGCTGCAAACCACCACTTGGCTGGTATCTGTAAGAGCTACACTGTCCAACTTGGCACTAAGTCGCATGAACCATCTCCCTTAGCATAACGAGCATGGCCTATATTTGGGTCAAACAAGCCGTGTTCTTAAAACATTTGCGGCGTGATTACGGCTTCTGTGGAATGAGTTGGTAGCGTAAATTCGGCCTGTTACCTTGTTAGTCACTGAAACGGATCCCCTGGAAGCTGCACTACCTGGTAATGACCGCTTACGCAATACTCAGCTGGGCTACTTCCGTAGTCAGTTCTCAGAGCACAATACCCACCTTTCCTCACACGAGCCTTTAGTTCTCCCTCGCGCTTCTACTTGCACAAAGAGCAGAAAGCCTAATCCCGCCCATCGCTCCCTCCCCGGGCCCGGGCTTTGTCCCCGGCCCCGCCATCTTGAGCCCGGTAGCAGGCAGGGCCGCCCTCGGCACGGCCGGAACCCTTGCAGAACTGAGGCGGCCAACTACGCGAGGGGCCAGGCGGCCTCCACCGAGCTCACTGTCCGAGCAGCCAGTGCTTTCAGTGAACTCCAGAAAACCTGAAGTCCTGAGAATCGGGTTTGAAATAAAACTGGAAGCGGAAAGCCACCTACGAATGAACGCAAAACTTCGTTACCAAGGAAAAAAACGCAGTAAGTGCTAGCTCTCTTACGGGAGAACTTGGGTGGCCCTGAAAAGGGCCTTTGGGTGGGGGTCTGGGGCCGCCGGGGCAGCTCAGCCGCCGAAGCCGTAGAGCGTGCGTCCCTGGCGCTTGAGCGCGTAGACCACGTCCATGGCCGTGACCGTCTTGCGCTTGGCGTGCTCCGTGTAGGTGACGGCGTCGCGGATGACGTTCTCGAGGAAGACCTTGAGCACGCCGCGGGTCTCCTCGTAGATGAGCCCCGAGATGCGCTTGACGCCGCCGCGCCGGGCCAGGCGGCGGATGGCGGGCTTGGTGATGCCCTGGATGTTGTCGCGCAGCACCTTGCGGTGGCGCTTGGCGCCGCCCTTGCCCAGGCCCTTCCCGCCCTTGCCACGACCAGACATCGCTATCAGCTACCAAAACCAACTCAGAAATAGCGACTACCGGCAGAGGTGCTCCCCTTATATGCCCGGAGTGCGGACCTAATTGAAGACGCCAAGCCTGCGCGGGAACGCCCCTTGCGCCTGCTGGCCCCGCCCATCGCGCCCGGCGGGGATGACGTCACCAAAGACCTCCGCCCGCCATTTTGGCGCGCTCTCGGTGTGGTTCCCGCCAGTCCTGCCTTCTCAAGTCTTTAGGCCGCTTCAGCAACTACGTCAGGAACAGAAATTCACTTTTTACTGATGCTTGGGACGCTTTGGGTGGTGGCGCGGGAGCGCGGGCGCCCACGGCGTCCAGCAGCGGCCCAGCTTCGTCCCGCCCTGCGCTCGGACACCCGGCTCTCAGGGCCCGGGTCGGCAGAGAGGGCGGAGGGCGGGAGAGCGCCAGGTCCTCTCCCTCTCGTCTCCGACCACCCGGAACGCTGCCCGGACAGCGAGTCGGCGTGTGGGGTGGCTGCGTGGCGCGGTTGCCCCGCGGCGCCGGCACCGGGCCCCGCTCCCGGCCGTTCTGTCCCTGCCCTGTTTGGTAGGAGCTGCGCTTCTCTATTTAGCCGCCCTCCCATCTGCTCCCAATAACTTGCCGGTGTGGTGGTGTTTGTTTCCCCAGTATCCCCCCCGCCTCCGCTTGATGCCGGGAATGTTATAGGTGTGGTAGGTGAGGTATTAGATACAGTTTGTCCCGTATAGTTGGCCGCTTTTAAGCAATGCTAAGAATACTACAGGAAGAGGTTGTCCTTGGGAAGCAGAGTGGCGCAGCGGAAGCGTGCTGGGCCCATAACCCAGAGGTCGATGGATCGAAACCATCCTCTGCTAACATTGTTTTCTTTATTTTTCTGCTTGAAATTTGTGTCTTAATTTTACGGTAAAGGAAGGAAACAGACTAGCCGTGTGTTTCAAGAAGTTCGCAAGTGAAAATTGTTTCTGGATTAACACATTTGAAAGTTTATGACCTCTACAGGTAAACTGAAGGTGTCATTTGGAGCACATTACTATTATTAACTGGTATGTCCTCCCATAATGTCCAGTGTCCCATAATGGTTACCAAAGTGACCTAGCAGTTATGTCCATTTTTCTTTGCCTGGGAAACTGGGAAAATGTTGAGGACCAGGACTGTGGAAGACAGGCTGGGAGACAGGAACATAGTCTTTATTTCCCTGCATTCTCAGGAAGCACTCCTTGCCAGGCGGTTAAGGAAATGGACTAGAAATCCATTGGAAGATCCTCACGAAGATTTTTTGGAACTATAATTCTTTATTTTGGAAATAAAAGAGTAGTAGTTAAGGGCAAAACTCTCAGTAGCCAGGATTTCACTAAGACCTGAGAAACAACGTCTGTGACTGCTACTGCTATGTCTCTACCCTCTACCCTCCTGTAAAAGCTCAGCTAGAAGCATAGCGCTGTTTCATATTTCTCTCTCTCAGGAAGGATTCCTATTCAGATACTTAAGTATCAGATCCTGTGCTATGAGTTATAAAAAAAAAGATAGTATGTCGCCTGCAGTCTATATGTTTTTAAAGAAATAAATATGTATGGTATAAGGTACTATTTCATTAAATGGATTATATACTCAGTGCAGTGGGAGCAAAGAAAATGGATGGTTATAGTTCTGTGACTCAACATAGAACAATTGTAGATCAATTCCAGTTGTAGAGCAATTCCAGCAAAAGACGAAATTCAGGAAAAACAGGAATATGCTCAGGTGAAAGCTGCAGAATTCTTGTCCTGTCTCGACACGTGCTCTTTGCCTCCGGTTGTGAACTCTGAGCATGTGCATAGACTGTGCTTGCCTAGGGAAGTCTGCTTGAATGTTGGAATCTGGGTTGTTAAGGGGAGACGGTCACAGAGCCGGCCATGGGTGCAGACCATGAATTTTTGTGTTGACTAAATATGCTGTCAGGCTGCTTCGTGGTGAGCTACCACTTCAGGTATATAGGATAATAATATTGCCCAGTAACTATGTGAACATGTGAGTATTTCAGTTTCCAGTGTAGGGGTAGCTGTCGTCACCATGGCAACCATCTACAGAGTTAAAGGAAAACTGAGTGATTTGCTGCATTAGCTCCACCCTGGCAATTGAATGGTAGGAGGTTTTGAATCAAATCTTGAATGAGCAAGGATGTGCCAGTCAAGGACATTCTAGACAAATACAGGGAGGTGTGATCATTAAGGGTTTCAAAGGAACAAAGAATAACTCAGTGTGGTGCAGTGTGCAGGTGAGGGAGAGGGAGTTGGAGAGAGAAGTGATTGTACTCCAATCACCTAGTCACTTCTTGATGAAGGCAGGAAGCCTTCACCACACACAAATAAAATGGCTGAGCACATGACACTTAACACTGAATAAATGAGGTGAGTAATAATTCACTAGTTGTATACACAAGGATACTTCCAAAAGTTCATGGAAGATGTAATTAAAAGACAATTTTATTTTTGTGCATAAATTTTGAAAGCGATGCATAATTTTTTATAATACACATTTTCTATGAAACTTTTGAAGTTCCCCAATGTCACAGCCTGGAAGAAAAGGATGTTCGGTGCATGCCATGGAGGGTCACAGATGGGATGCCATCATTAGCAGAATGAACCAGCCCTGGCTGTGAGGGGTGGGCTTTGCAGTAATCAGGAGGGAAGGACAGCACTTTCCCTCTAGATGGTGCAGCAGGATTGTTTTAGCAGTCTTGGGGGCTGGCAAGGGTTGAAACCCATGAGTGGAATGCAGCTGGTCTGGCAGATAGGGGACCAGCTCAGTGGGTACCTTTCCTGCTCGTAGTGGACATATCCAGCCCAGGCAGGGAAACTGGTGGTTAGGCCTTTAGGGAGCCCTCAGAGCATCAGGGATGTCAAAGTGTTGTAGGGTTCTTGGACAGAGAGACGTGACACCGAGGCCCACAGCAGGAAGCACTGTTTATTCTGTCCACATGGGCCCAGCGAACTAACATTCAAAGGCCGAGCCCCAAACAAAGCGGGGCGTTGCCTTATATATAGTATTAGTGTCTCTGTCTCCTTTATACGGTCACATACATTTCGACTGGGTATTTTAAGGCTACAGGGTTGCTATAGAGTTGTTACAGGGTTACCCATGCACACATAGGTCCTGATTGTGCCACTTTGTTCTTTTGTTGCTGTTGATCTGGGAGGGTCTTCAACTTTTCCTTTGATAGGAGAGGGCCCTTAGTTTTTCTTTGGAAAGGCCCTACCTCATTCCCTCCTCTGATGCTGGGACCTTTCTCAGGATCAAGGGGCATCATCTATAACATCAGGACATGTGCAGCCATGTTTTTCTTTAATTATGGCCTTAAAGATACTGGTGATGGTCCTTAGTACCAAGGGAGCCAGGCATGGCAGAATTAAACAGGGTCCTAGAATCGAGACGACAGCACCCTCAATGGCAGGGAACCAACCACCAAGTAACTCCCCAGGGATCCAGCCACTCAGGGTGACCATTGTCAAGCCAATGGCAAGGACCAGGGCCGTAACTATGATCATAGACAATAACAAAGGGTGATAGTACATTACAGTAAGAAATATAAACAACCCATAAGCAGTATAGTCTATAAGCAATTTTGAATAGGTTATTTATCTTGTGGGTTGCGCTGCTGTTGGCTCCTCAGGCTTCCACCATGTGTAAACTGGTCAGCAGGGCTGTAGACTCTGGAATTCTCTGGAGATACTGCTCGGGTTTTCTTTGATGGTCAGTTTACACAGCACTGCTTGGTCAGGGATGCGCTCTCAGTTTCGAGCCGTTGGCTTCACCCTGCTGTGATGGACCAGGGGACCACCTCATCCACCTTTAGTTCAGTTCTGAAATATGGCTTCGTATCTCTTAATTAGCGAGCCAGTAAGCTCCTTTACTCCAGAAGTGGCAGTACACAGTGATCTCTGCACTATGGTGGGCTGCCTAGAAACCAACTACTCTACCCCCTGCAGGACATGACAAGCAGCTATTGTTTTTAGATACATCGGCTAGCCTTAGGCGGTAATGTCCAGATCTTATATAATTTTTTTTTAATTTTGGGTCAATATTTTTAGTTCTAACCTTTACTTTTCAAGTGAAAAGAAATTAAAGAGCCTTCCTGGACTACAGTGCCAGCATCCCATATGGGTGCCTGTTTGAGCCCAGGCTGCTCTACTTCCAATCCAGCTCCCTGCTAATATGCCTGGGAAAGCAGTGGAGGATGGCCCAAGTTCTTGGGCCCCTGCACCCACATAGGAGACCTGGAAGAAGCTCCTGGCTCCTGGCTTCAGACTGGCCCAGCTCCACCATTGCAGCCATTTGGGGAGTGAACCAGCAGATGGAAGATTTTCTCTCTCTCTCTCTCTCTCTCTCTCTGCCTCTTCCTCTCCCTCTCTGTAACTACATCTTTCAACTAAAATAATTAAAAAAAAAAAATCCTTAGCATCTCACTGTGGGTGCTGTACATAGATTTTAGCATTACATATGAGAATTACTAAATAGATCTAGCCAGCTTTTTTTTAAAATAGGGGCCCTCTCTGGAGGATATAGTTTTAACAGAATCCTTTTGTGACAGTTACTATCAACCAATCACATAAAAGAACCCTCTTAAGCTACACTGTAGCAACAGAGG